TACTAATACTAATACTAATACTAATACTAATACTAATACTAATACTAATACTAATACTAATACTAACAGTACATGATAACAATTATGGTAACAGCTACATATGATTTAATAGTATTAGCATATTCCTTGATTAAATCTTGAAATGGGGAGGAGGAGGCAGATTATGGCCAGATTTGTTCCTATTCCTACGCCTAGTCCTACTGCAGCACCTGAAATCACATTGCACACATTAGTCACTGAGGTATTCCTGAACGCTATAAAATCGTTTTCCTAAAGGAAGTGTTTGAGTTTTTTCTTGAAGTTGTATAAGCCTGTCGTGTTTCTCAGATGTATGGGTATTTTGTTGAACAATTGTATACCTGAAAAGAATGTACTCTTGTGGTATAATGTGCATGTACACAAATGTTGATGAAGGTTACATGCTTGCCTTGTGTAATAGGGGTGTAATCTTGAGTTAAATTTGCAAAGTGTGTCATTATTAACTAGATTTTTCTTTACAAACATGATAACATCATAAATAAAAATACAAGGCAGTGGAAGTACGTTAAGTTTTTTGAATTCAGGTCTGCTGAACTCTGTTCTTTTTGTATTTGTTATTGTTCAAATGATTCTCTTTTGTATTTTGAATGTTTGTTTAGCCTCTGGGGTTTGGCCCCATATTATTTTCCCGTATTTGAGAATAGAGTGCACATTTGCAAAGTATTAGTAATAGTACTGTTATGCTGTCTCAATGGTGCTGTTTCTTATTATTAGTCTAAGATTATAATTAAGCTTGCTCAATTTTGAATTAATATCTTCTAGGTGCAAGTTCAATTTGAGGTTGGATTGTATGGTGATTCTGAGAAATTTTGTTTTCAGTGCTTGTGTGATGCTATTTCCTTCTAATGTTAAATTTGGTGAGTATTCTTGGGTTGAGTGGGAGTTGTGGAAGGGTTTTGTGATTGTTTTGTCTTGGTTTAGGATTAGTTTGTTATGGTAAATTCATTGTACTAGTTTGTCGATGACTAAATTGGCTTTGTCTTGCAAAACTTTGCTTGTTCTTTCTTTGAATATTATATTAGTGTCATCAGCAAAAAGCATAGTTTTGTTGTTTTCCATTATTGATGGCAGGTCATTTACAAATATAAGTAATAAAATCAGGCCGTGTGAATCCTTGCAGGGCCCCATATATCACATTTCTTGGCTCAGAGTGATGGTTATTTATTTTGTTGTCTTTTGGTAAGATAATACTACAATTTGTTTTCTGTCTGATAGGTATGATTTTATCCAATTGTAGGCAATTCCTTGCATTTCATAAGATTCTAATTTTGACAATAGAATTGTGTGATCTATCAAAGACTTTTGACAGGTCAAGAAAGAGACCGACAGGAATTTCTTTTTGCTCTAATGCCATGAGGATTTCATTTACGAAGGTGAATAGAGCAGTTTCAATTGAACAGTTTTCCCTGAATCCATGTTGTGAGTCAGTAATAATGTTATAGTGCATCAAGTAGCTTTTTAATCTTTCATAGGACAGTTTTTTCTAATGTTTTTGAAAAACCTGACAAGAGTGAAATTGGCTAATGAAGCAATGTTTCCATTTGGTGCAGTAAGTTTTTGTTTAACTATTGAAGCCTTGATGGAATCCATGGTGTCGTTTTCTCAATGTATGATATGAACTGACGACATCAAACTGTGCTCAGGAACCATTCAGGGTCTTAAGCAGCTCATACATATCACCGAAAGATTCTCCACCAACATAGGAATGCAATTTGGTATTGAAAAATGTAAAATCCAAAACATTAGTAAAGGTAGACTCATCATGCAATATAAAACACGAAACCAAACTAAGAAAGACTACTACATCCTTAGAAATATATGAGCTCTACAAACACCTAGGGATCTATCAAAACAAGTTGCTCGCGCACACTGAAATTAAAGCAAAATTACAATTGGAATTTGTTAAGAAAATGAAAAGTATATTCAAAACCTTTCTCAACTAACGAAATCTTACAGCAGCAATATGTAGTTACGCAATATCAATTATCTACATTCTCATTGGGATCATTAAATGGTCGAAAAGGAATATTGAATCCTTAGCAGGGTTTATCAGAGTCCAAATGGTCCACCTTCAACTCCTCCATACCAAAAGCTCATTTCAAAGGGTCACACTCCCAAGAAAGATGGGTGGTCGTGACATCCTAAAATATGGTCTGCTTCTTTCCTGATACTTTGTGCATCTGTCAACTGAAGTTGATTTTGGCATTAGGTTTACTGTTGAGTCTTGTAGTTTTGTCAATATGATTGTCCTTAAGTCGAATGGATAATTTATTTTGCTTTCACTAAATCAGTGTTTGCTTGGTATGCGAGGTCTACGTTGTGTTGCTGATGTTTTCTTCTACTTCATGTTTTACTAATGTTATTGCTGTTTTAATGTTGTTTATCTCCTCGTTAGTTTATTTTGTTTGTTCTTGGTGTTGTTGTTCAGTTATTGACTTAATATTCAACTCAATATGATCTGTACACTCTGCCTGCCTTCTGTTTCAAGATGTAGTAGTTCCAGATGTGTAAACACCTCCAGCAGAGGATTCAAATTATTTCACAAAGAGCAAGCTGTTGGTTTTTTGATCATTAGCAATAATTTCTTCCATTGTCTTTTTTATTTGCAGGAATTTTTCTTTGAGGTTGTTATTTCTCTGTAGTGGTGTACAGTACATGACTGGCATGTTGTCCTTTTTTCTGTGTCAGATGCATGTACAAAAGATTTTGTTTATTCCCTGGCCTCTCCTTTGCACTTTCTGTGTCACATGGCTCCATTATGTCTTTTTCATTTCAGAGACCCCTTTTGAGAGCCATGGTTACAGGATGATATAGCATGCTCTCACAATCTGTGCTAGCCAGTAGAGTGCTTTCTTGTTTTTGCTCTTCCATTTAATTCTATTTCTATACTGCTAAAGATAATTTGCTTAAATGATACTTCCTTCTCAAAGTATCCTTGTGTGCAGTAATAGATTACCTTTTCCTTTCTCTACCATTTTTCTCTAAATATTACACAACTATCTACAAAACCCATTTACAATATATTTCATTTTCTTATTAATTAAATTAGGCTGCAAGAAATGGAGGGAATTATGTGGAGGGAAGATATGGAGTAATATATGACTAAAATACACTAATAAATGGTTGTACAAAATTTTAATTTCTTACAGAACCATCATGAAGTATAATTCAATAACAGAAAGTGTATCATAAGTATTTTGAACATTAACATGTTTCATTTTGGGTACTTGACAAGCAATATATATTAAAACTTAAGGGAAAAAAATGTCAACTCTAATTGAAAGAATCTTTTCTCAATGTGTGCTGAAACTTTTATTTTTTTCACATCAATGTCTCTCATAACTAGTTTGAACTTGTAGGAAATTCTTTTAAAAAATGAGCTCAAAACACAGAATGGAGCTTGTTACTTCATAGCTTCTTCATGTTCTGCAGAGATACAAATGCATGCTTCACCATGATGCAACTTTTTAAATATCGAATCTGCAAATGTAAACAAATTATTTTAAAATATTTTCTAGATAATATAGAAAGATTTCAATGTTAATTAAAATGTTTGAGTGAACAGAGAAAAATAATCTGGGAAGAGAAAAAATATGTAGTTAAAGAAGAAAATGGGATATAAATTTAAGAACTTATTTGAGAAATGTCAATTGTTAGTAAATACATAAGAATAAGGCAAAATCAAAGTAAAAGTAAGAATTGTGTTTGAATTTACTGTTTCATTGGTTTGAAATTTTTAATTCAGTTCCTCTATAAAGGTAAATGTCAAAATAACTTTTTCAATGAAAATTAGATTGTTTTCCAGCTACAAGAGCAGATGATAAACATATAACTTTCTTCTGACAAACTGAAACTAATTACCTCGCCTTTGTAAAACTCAAGGGAGCTATTGGATGAAATCACTAAATTCATGTCAAACCCATGTCTAACCCAATATCCCATGAATAACATAATGCATTCAACAAAAGATGGTCATGATTATAACGTGAATATTCCTAAAAACTAAACATAGAATAATTAATGGGGGGTTAGGGGTTAGATTCTGCCCATTCGTATTTAAACTAGAACAAATATATTATAAAAATGGAATCTGATGGCAAAAAGTCAACTTATTAACATTTCTGACACATCATAATTCACATGTGAATAAGTTATATAAATAGTGGACTAGAGGAGAAATTGGTAAGGGAAGATCCCATGTTTGAAATATGTTTTCCTTCTTGCAGGTTGTTTCAGTATAATATATTGCTGTAACAATATATAATATATTCCAAAATAATAATTTTCTTATATTATAACACAATTCTTACTATAGAACTAATGATAAAAATAAAACAAACCTGATGAGGTGCACCAGCAGGAATTATTACAGCATCTCCAAGACAATGTAGGATTGCATGCCCTTCAATTCCGTACTCTCGGTGGAGACGCCCTCTAAGGATTCCATCCAAATACCAGTTTTGACCATTAATTAAATTTTGGTTTGGTTGTGAAAGAATACCTCTTGAAAAATTAACTGTTTTTAGCAAATCATTAATCTTCTTGGAATCTTTTCTATCGTACACATGCCATATTGCACCAGGTATGTCTCCATTCTTTTTGATCCGTTCAATAGTTGTTTGGTCACAACCTGCATCTTTCACAGCCTGGAAAACTTTTGACAACACAATTCATGATGTTTATAGTAAATTTTCTGTCAACTGACAATATAATACTACAGTTATGTAAAATGATATGCATACCTTTTTTCCCATCTTCAACATTATCTTCATTTGTGATTTTTCCAACATAGACCAGAATATTTAATGAATCAAATTTATCCATATTCAGCTTATTTGTACCCACCCATGGATACTTAGGTGTTCCGTAAGCACAATGTAATTCTGTGCACAATTCATCAGTTAATATTCCCGTTGGCAAGAAATTTGCAAAATTGAATAAGCCATTTGGATGTGTATATGAAGACAAGGGAAGGGCTCTTAGAAGATCACCCATTTGTGCTGGTAAAACTGATTCAAACGTTGTGCGTTTAGGCCATTCTTTCAACTTAAGAAGCATAGGACGACCTCTTGTATCTTTTGGGCGACTTCCCAAGTCTTCAAATCCAGCCCAAAAATTTCTCATTTTTTGGCCTGGTATTACTTCGTCATTCAATACATCCACAATGTTTACTTTACATTCCCCATATCCTTGGGAAAAAAATGTAGGATTCCACAATGTCATATCCAGCTTCTTTGTGATGTGTGATATGATAATAGGACGTTCCTTCTTCCACTCTTTCTGTAATATATTAAAACAAACAACTGAAATCTAATGTACAATTAAAAGAAGCTGAAATCAATGTAACTAAATAATGATTTTTACTATATTGAATATTTTGGAACTTTTGTCCAAAGTGGAAAACAATATAACTAATTTGTTTGGAAATCAATTTTCTTCATGTCCAGAAGAAATGTTACATACAGTTAATTCATAAATAGAAATATTCGTTCAAGATATTTAATAATGAATGTAGCAATGAACTTTGTTTAATATTTACATGAAAGTTGTAAGTTTTGTGACACTAGCAAGGTTTTTACTTCTCCCCTTTGGAAAATACATGTAGATTATATTTACTAGAATTTTAAATTATGTTGTCATATTATCACTCAATGGAACATTCACAATTCAATTTCATTTTCTCTTCCTTTTGTTTAACAGTATATAAACAATATTTATGAAACATTTTAAAAAGTAATATACATATTTTCTCTTAATTTTACATTGACTCACCAGGAAAGCTTTATAATTTCCACAGAAACTAGGGTCTAAGAGTTGAAGTAGGTTTTTGTGACCAAGCCATGAATGAGGATAGTCAGAGTCATTTTCATCAGAACCTTCATCTCTATCCTGAGAAAGTAAATATACAAAGAGACATTGTATAAATATCTAAAATAGACCAATGAAAAAGTACAGAAATCTTTTCCATAAAATACATAAGACTTAAATGAAGTGTTCAGAGGAAACCAAGAATCCATTACTTGTAATTATTTGAGACTAAGAAATAATATTTGAGGAGTTGTGTTGGCAGCCCTCACTCTTTTTTCAAATGGTTGTTAATTTGGCAACTACAGCCAACTTAGGTAATCACTTAATTTTGGTACTGTGCTTGCTAGTTAAGGGTCATCCATAAATTACATAACACTAAAGAGGGGGGAGGGGGGGTTTGAGGCAGCATTGCGCTTCTTTCATTGGGGTATTAGTTTCATGATATGTAACCTTGATTTTTTTGTCAATATTTGCTGAAATAATTCTTTTTACTGCATCATGTACTAAAACATTAAAATACTAACTAATTAACTTGTTTAAAAAATATAAATTAAAGTTATTAGATCTAAATTATTAAAATAAATGGAAATATTTTTCATTAACTTTTTATTGAAGTTGTAAGATAACAAAGAAAATATTCCAAACTGATACAGAGTATATTCTAGCATTCATTTAAATAGGTCCAGTAGACTCTTAAGCATGTGTCTTCCATGGCGGTGTATGCACGGTTGATGATAAAAAAATTTCTCACCTATGTGTCCTTTCTTCACTCACCCCCAATCTTACTGCTAGATGCAGTCAGCATCGCTAACTAATTTCTACTTTAATTATCATTAATTTTAATATTCAACACAAGTAATATAAATTCTAATTGTTTTTGTTGCTATGATTTATTTTCACTTCTTGCATTTACAAGGCAAGAGGTTTTGTAACAAGGGATGATAGGGAATTCAAAATTACTCCAAATTTGTGTTAGCTAATTTATGGATGGACCTCTAACAATAAACCTAGAAAGTAAATTTTTGGCAATATTTTCTAAGATTTTTATTCTTAATGATGTGGCTTCAGCAACTACTTAATCATTATCTTCATTTATAAAAACAAATGGCTACTAATGGTTTTAGCATTGGTATTATTTAATAAATATTAACAATTTGGGAATTAGGTAATCAAAGTGCATACAAGGACACAGGCTGCAAGAGGGGAGAAATATGTGACCGACTGATGCTGGATACTCAGTTGCATTAGTTAGAAACATCTTTCAATTAGTATTCCACACTATCAAACATAGTGTCTACAGCAATTTTGCCATAAAATGCTGAAATAACCTCGAGCTTTGCTTTTGGACAGTAAATGTAGTGTCATCATGTGAGATAGGTAATAATCGGCCACAACAATCACTGTTATAATATTTATTGTAACGTACCCAAAGTTAACGAATTTCATCTTCAGTGGGTCTCTACTGAAGGAAAAATGAGAAATTAACATGAAGTAAGGGAACCAAAAAAAACAACAACAACAACACACAGCACACATTTACTTGAGCTCTCTTTTTGCTGGGAGAACAGGTGGAGGTTGTTTCATCAGCAAAACTAAAATTAAATCTGCAGCTTGTTTCCTGATGTAGCTTCTTATTACATGGGAGTGAAAATTGCTAGTTTTTTACTGTTGTCAAGCACACTCATTGGAAGAAACCTAAATCTATAATTCTACTGTATATAGTAAAAGAAAAAGAGTAGGGATTTTGCCGCTCAAGAAGATGTGCAGATCATTATTTACCCCCACATACAATTATATACCTCTTTTATGATTAATCAATGAATCTGTAAATAAAATAAATAAATAAATAAATAAAAACATTTGGTAAAGGACCCGCAATTTCTCTTCTATTTACACATTGGTTATCTCAGTTTGTGAAAAAAAATTGTAGTTGCAAGAAAATACTACGGATAGTTCAGGATAGGGTACAATTTCAATTTATTAATCTTAGATAACTTTAATTATGGACTATTAGATTCCTAAAGCATTGTTCTTAAACAAAGACCTAAAGGAAGTATTTATACCATACTCATTATTTTACTAATTTCAGATTCTAACTCTCGAATCCACCTTAAGGTGAACTATAATATACAAATGTATTAAAATTATTGTGACAATCACAGAGATCAAATAAGTTATTTCCTTAGAAACATTAATGGTTTATCATGATAGGTATGTTAGATGCTTTTGTAATATGTATATTTTGCAGAGTTATTTTTTGTTTATACTATTACTTTTTGTTTGCAAAGTTTATAATTGTTACAAATATTCATATTTTATCTTTAATGTATTCATGTTCAGTTTCTGCAAGATATATCTGTGGTGATAAGGAAAAAGGGAATAACTGCAATTTTTGTCAAAATCGAGATAATACTAAATTTGGTATCTTTGATACTTATACTTTCATCAGACAAGATAATAAATATAGTAATCTGTAATATGTGAATATACGAGCAATGTTAAATTATCAAATAAACGGTTAAAATAAGGAAAAAGGGAATAACTGCGAAACTTTGAGGAAAAAGGGAATAACTACATTAAAATCATTACTAAAAGTAATGAACATTAATTCTGTTTAAGTTTATTAATTATTCTAAATATTTTAACACTTATAATCATTTTTTAGTTAATTTAAACCGAAATTAAGCAATAAATTAAATCATTTTATAATAAATAACAAATATTACAAATTTTAAAATAATACATTCAATCATTAATATTTACTTAAATGCATCTTTGTTGTAACTTTGCTTCTGTTTTTTTGACAATCTTTCAGATCTGCGCACATTTTTGTTCCTTTCAATGTCTCAGCTTGTTCAACAGCTTCTGCTTGAATGCTCAAATTTTGAGTGTCTGCCTTGTTTAGAAAATGTTTACGCTTTCTTCGCAAAATGTGTGCAGTTACATTTTCTGTGGTGCTAGAAGAATTAATTTCAGCATCAACTAAATTTGTATCTACGATGTCCAGATCGGGATCGTAATAGTAGTTACTTGCTTCGATGTCGGACAATAAATTTGTATAAAAGTCTCCAACGGATGGTCTTAAAAAATGTAAATTACTCATCAGATCTTTTCTTTCTTTCGAAATTGTTGTAGTAGGTTTAAAATAATCTTCATTAATTCCCGATACACCTCGTCTTCTCAGATTTTAATTCAGAAAAAAAACTCCATCCTCTGAGAACTTTTTTTAAAAATAAACAATGCCTAATATAATATAATTAATATGTTTAATTATATTAATATATTTAATTTATTAATAATTTATTTAAATTAAGATATTATTGTTTATTTTCATTTATTTTCAATATTACATTATTAATTAAATTAAGAATTGGTTGTATAAATATTTATTTTCAAAAAAGGAAAAATGTTTTAAAAATCATTTTAACTGAAAGTTTTAACTAACAATTTAATTAATAATTTCTTATTTCGAAGTCAAATACTACAAAAATAGTTTTTTACAAATTTGGGGGGGCCCCTTTTTTTTTTTATTTTGGGAAAAAAAGGGAAATTTTATTATTTAGTTTTACATATATATATATATATATAATATATAATATAATTAAATAAAATTAAAATACAAGATCAAAATAAAGGAAAAGAATGATATAAACAGTTATGGAAAAAAGGAATAACTGCAAAATATTTAGGAAAGGGAATAAGTTGAAAAATTAACATTTAATTACATTTATTTTTATTATAAAATGTTTATTTGAAGTCCTGAAAAATATGTTTTGTTTATACTGAAAGTGTTGAGAAAAAACCTACGGTCGAACCTACTTAAATCTGCAAATAGAAATTTATGAACTTTAAAATGCATATTTTCCTCTGAATTATGAAAATTGAGCAGTTATTCTCCTTTTTCCTTATCGGCCACAGATATTAATAATTAAACCACATGTAAATGAAAGGATGTTTGTTTGAATCTAGAATAAGACACACACATCTCAAAATATTATTAAAACCATTCAATGACACTATTATTACTTATAGTATATATTATTACTTATACAAAGGATCTCATTAACAATTTGATACAATTCCATTTTAAAATAAAAATATTTTCTTTAATTTCATATTTCATTGAAATGTAGCCTACTCGATACTGGATCCCTCTTAAATCTTAACTGTGAGTCGCCCTTCCAGTGAGGTAGAGCCTGGTTTCAAGAAAGTTTGAGTAGCTATAAATCAATCTGTTCCTAGGTCATAATTTCTGGTAGGATCGTAATTTTCCATTTTAAAATAACTAGAAAATGATTTCGCGTTCTTGGTAAAATAGACCATAGTTCTCTGAAAGTTAAAATATTTGTGAAACTTGTGAGGAATTGTGCAAATATCGATTTCTTTTCTTTACACGGAGAACAATATATTCTCACATGTTTTCGTTACGTTTTACCTCTCTGTCAGGATTTTCACGAATACCGGACATCGCTTCAAAACCGCCTTCACTTTTCTAGTTAAATCGTAATTACGCTGACTTGAATTGTAATTACAGATGAGTTGACTGATCTGAAAATAACAAATGCATATGAAAAAATTCAAGAGCATGGCGTGACACATAGTATTGGGAAAAGAGTTCAGGAAGGATTGATTGTAAATTTTCACAAAAAATGCTAAAATTGCAAGAAGCGTGTGATGAGAAAGTTTGTTACCTTAACAACGTGGCCACTCTCAGGAGATGCAGGTGCGCGTCAAAATTTTAAAGACATCATTTGTCAGACTGCATAACTTTACAATTTGAAATATGAAACCGAGTAGTTCAATAATTACAAAACCAGCCTTCAATCGATTAATCGATTAGAAATTCTTGTCGTCGAGATTTTTGTGTTTCCTCTCACTGCAGTGAATGGTTACCGCTTGTCATTAAATAAAAATATTTCAATATGACAAATAAAACAAGTACTAATCCTAGCGCTGAGAAATTCCGTTATTCCTAAAATTGAATACGTAACGGCAATTATCGCTACAATCGTGAGCTTTTATCGACCTCATAGAGCACTGAAACAATGGCGTATCGTAACTACAATGATGACATATACGTATGATAAGTGTTTAAATAAGTAATTTTTCTTTACTCCATGACTCTTGAGAAGAGATGGGAAAAACGATTCGATTAAAATAGAATTTATAATCTTAAAAATCGCCTAATTGTTGAATGTTCATCACAGAGATGTCCAGAACACGTGACTTAGAGGGTTTGTGAGGGCAGCACTGTAGCCTTTGAGTTGCAAGTCAGCTACTGGAAGTGGAGAACAAATGATATTTCTTTTAGTGCGTTAATATCTTTCTTCGTTGATGTTCCACCGTCATACAGACTTAAAATTGCTTTGGTGTTGTGTAGGGCCACTTTCTCAAAGTGAATTCTTTTTTCTCTAAAATAAAATTATTTTTGGACGAAACCACCTTGTGTGCGGATTTGGGTTGAGGAAGAGGGGGTGGGAGAGACAGAAAGGTTATTTGATTCCTAACATCCTTCTTAGAAATCGGGAAAGTATACGTATAGCACCCTCGAAAGATAAACGACAAAAGTTTATATCTTATTTCAAGTAAGGAAAGTTAGAAAATTGTTATTAAGGTCCACAGTAGCCACTTACTACAGGTACTATCATCTTCGTACATCGCAGTACGAACTTAAAATTTTCCTGTCATCCACAGATATTTCACCTGCAAACGAATTCCACACTTTTACAATAGTATATGCAATCCGCCAAGCAGAATATTTCGACATAGCTCTCTCAATAAATAAGCTGTCATTTACATACTTTTCCTGCAAACCTGCAGTTCGTTTACCATTGCAAATGTTTTCTATAACTCGGAAACGAAAATGTCTAGATTTTCAAGTGCCGCTAATCTCGCTCTTGTTTTAACTATATTATTTATTTATTTATTTATTTATTTATTTATTTATTTATTTATTTATTTATTTATTTATTGATTGATTGATTGATTGATTGATTGATTTAAATTTACGTCGAAAACAGTTTAAAACTGTGTGTGACGTGCTATGGGGAGAAGTTAATTTCAAGTTACATTTATGTCCAGAAAAAAAAACAAAGGCCATCTCAGCATTTGCTCGAGGATCAGGGAAACTGGACGAAAACCTCATCGAAATTGGGTCATTGACCCAGAAGCTGATGGACAATACTTGTTACAGGTTCTTTACAATTATACAATCCAAATGATATGTAAAACATTAAATGTAATTGTTAAAATTAATATTACTTTCCTTTTGGATGCTCGGTATTATCTTTAATTGTGTAGAAACAGTTGTACAGCAGGAAAGAGTTTACTAGAGACTTAAACTTTTGCATCGATTACCTGATGCATTGCTACCTGATGAATATGATTACTACGTCGAGTGTAGTAGTTATAGACAACTATATTATACTTATGAAAATATATTCCCGCCCTTAAGTAAGTATTTTTTAACAAAAAACACTGATTTTTATATCAAGAAACAAGGTAATTTTAAGATACCAAGATTACAAGAGTCTTACAAGAATCACGTGGGTGGTATTTGCTTATTATTCGTACAATTATTTTTTGTAATCTAAAAGTCTGGAGCTATAAGATGTATTTCTCCAGAATATTATGCCATATCTCAGGCGGGAATGAGCTTTCGCGAAATATACACGAGCAGTGCGGAGGCTGACTGAATTTCAAAGAATTCTGAAAGCGTAGCATAAAGAACTTAATTTAGTGTTCAATTCATTTAAACGACAGTTCTATTTACGGTTTAACTGAATTGCAAGACCTAAAAATGTTGTAACCTTATCAATGGCACGCCGTTCATTTTCAGTGAAGTGCCGAGTTTTTTATTTTAAATAAAGAACTGCATAAACAGTTTTCTTTTCATTTACTATTTATTTGTTATTACGAAGCCATTTGAAATATTTGATATTGTACTCTTTACTATTTCTTTATTGCAAAGAATATTCGTGTCGTCCGCAAAGAGAACTATTCTTCCGTTTCTAATCGTCGAGAGCATATCGTTTACGTATAGTAGGAGGAGAAAATGGTCCAAAATCGATCCCGGCGAAACTCCACATGCAATTGGCAAAGAATCTGAAAGGTGTGTACCTAATGTTCCGTTATTCCTACTCTCTGAGATCGTTGTTTAAGGTATAAACATAATCAATTGAGAGGATCACCACAAAGTCCATAGGAAGGTAATTTTGAGAGTAAAATGTTATGATTAATGACGTCATAAGCTTTTGAAAGATCTAGAAATATTCCAATAGGTGCTTCGTTTTGATCCTGGTTGAGGCGACATCTTTAAGAAAAGAAAATATGGTTGTTTCCGTAGATTTTGATTTTCAAATCACATGTTGGCAATCTGAAAACGCGTAGTGTTTCATAGCGATACCAATTTTTTCATTTGAAGCTTATGTTTCTATATATTTGCAAAACTACGCCACATACGTCAAATTCATCTTAATTACAATGTAGAATATTGCTATTTTAAAAAAGTTTTTTTATCACCAGAAACTTCATTTAAGATTCAAATTGAAGAAAAAATACAAATATTTTCTTGTGCTACTTTAACTGCTTAAGTAAGTTAAGGAGATTCAGCCAATTAATATGACTATTATTTTCAAAGCGTTGAAAATTAGCTAATACAAGGCTTTCCAGTCAAAGTTTGTAAAGAGAACTTTTGTCATCCGTAAATGACAAATGATGACATTTTCTGAAACTACATTAATTTTAAAACAAGTAAGAGCTCCTAGAATGGATGTGTTACATAGTTTGTAAAAAATGGGCTTTTTTGTTTTAAAAATGTAAACCTCCGTCGTTTGACGAAATTTTCCGATTTTCAACATGACACTGATTTTTCTGAAATCCAGGGTCCTAAAACGAAATTTCTTGGCGTATACACTGGTGATAACAATTTGTCTATTTGAAGCTTATCTTTTCAGTCAATCTCAAAACTTTCGCAATAAACGTTATTTTTTTTCCAAATAGCAGTGTAGAAATTCGCAATTTCAAGCAGGTTCTTATTTAACCAGAAACTTCATTTAAGACTACGATTAAAGACTAGAGTCTATACAATCCGCTGTGCTAATTTCATCGCTGTAGTTTTAATAGTTTAGGAGATAGAACCTATTAAATTTGACAATTATTTTCAAAGACTTGTAACTTCGAAAATACAAGTCTTTGTCCCTAGAGGGCACATTTCCCATCCGAATATGATATTTTCTCAAACTACATGAATTTTGAAACACGTTAGTTCTTTTAGAATTATTATGTATGTTGGATAGTGTGTGAGATATTGAAGTTTCTTTTTTGTGTTAAAAATGTAAAGATTCGTCGATATGGATTGATGAAATTTTCCGATATTGGACATGACGCGGATTTTTCTGAAAACCAGGGTCCTATATTGAAATTTCATGGCAAATACACTAGTGTTACCAATTTTTCCATTCTATGCTTATTTTTTCAGAAAGTGGCAAAACTTACGCAATAAGCGTCAACTTCGTCTAAATAGCAGTGTAGAAACCGGTGATTTCTAGCAGGTTCTTATTTAACCAGAAACTCAATTTTAAGACTCAGGTTATAGAGTAGAGTTTACACAATCTCCTGTTAAATTTGCACTATTTAGCTTCTAATGAAGTTTTCCCTCTAGATACGTGATTTCAAAAAGAAGCGACAAAATTAGGTTTTTCCTAATATCTCAGGCAATTTTGAAAATTAAACATAATTTAGAATTGGAGTTTGATATACACTTGTCAGTTTCTCGTAATAGTTTCTACTTACCTACATGATTTCCTGATTTCCAAAAGAAGCGATAAAATTAGCTTTTTTAGAAACTTCTCAGCCAATTTACGAATTTAAGCACAATTTTCCTTTGCATCTATCTCAGAAACTATAAGTAGAATTGGAATTTAATTTGCACCTTTCAATGTCTTGTGAAGTGTTCTACATATATACATGATTTCAAAACGAAGCGACAAAATCAGTTTTTCCCAAAATTCTCTTCCAATTTCCCAATTTAAGCACAATTTTATTTCGCATCTACCTCAGAAATTAACTGTCGGGTTTGAGTTCGGTTTGCGCCAATTTATTTCTCGTGAAATGTTCTACCTACATACATGATTAAAAAAGATGCGACAATATTAGTTTTTTTTTTCAAAACTCAGCCTATTTGCCAATTAAGGCACAATTTTGCTTTGCGTCATTATCAGTAATTAATAGTCGGATTGGAGTTTGATTTGCACCATTCAATTTCTTGGGAAGTATTCTACCTACATATATAATTTCAATAAGAAGCGACAAAATTAGTTGTTTTTTTTCAACATTTTCAGCCTAGTTTTCAATTAAGGCACAATTTTGTTTCACGTCTGTCTCTGAAACTAATTGTCAGGTTTGAGTTTGATTTGCACCATTCAACTTCTCGTGAAGTGTTTTACCTACATACGTCATTTCAAAACGAAGCGACAAAATTAGTTTTTTTTCAAAATTCTCAACCGATTTCTCAGATTTGCACAATTTCGTTTCAAGTCTATTTCCGAAACAAATAGTCGGATTATAGTTTGGTTTGCTCCATTCAGTTTCTCGAAAAGTGTTCTACCAACATACATAATTTCAAAAAGAAACGACAAAATTAGTTTTTTTCCCAAAATTTGAAGCCAATTTCCCAATTTAAAAACAATTTGTTTCAAGTCTATCTCAGAAACTAATAGTATGATTGGAGTTTGGTTTGCACTATTTAATTTCTCGTGAAGTGGTCTATCTACTAACATGATTTCAAAAAGACGCGACCAAATATTT